ACTTTGAAATAATTTAACATTTCCCAATTTGCAAAATGCCCGATGCTGGAATGTCAGAAGGTCATAGCTGTAAGAGTTGCTCAAAGGCAGACAATTCGCAAATGGTTTGCTGTGATGTATGCGATCAATGGTATCACTTTCGATGTGCTGGCGTTACGGCCTCCATCGAAAACGTGGACTGGCGCTGTTCAGATTGCTCTACATCTTCACGCAGTACGACGACTGGGGCGGAAAAACAAAAGGCTGGCGCTGGTGTTGCCCTCCCTAACCAGGCGACTGAAGGCAAGCAGGGTCGGCAAATTACGGTCAGCCATGAGGAAGGCGCTGCCTGCGCACTCACGCCACAAGAGGCGACCCATCCATCACCTACAGCCGCAACCGGACAAGGTGGTACGTCGAGTCGGAGTAGTCCTGGCAGTAAATCGGCACGAGCCCGACGGCTCCGTGCAGAAGCATCACTAATCGAAGAAGAGGAGCGGATCCTGCGTCAAAGGGAAGCTCTACTTGATCGGCGTAAAAAGCTTCTGCAACAAGTAGAAACCGAAGACGAATGTTCAGACCTAGATGAAGGTTTGGACACTATCGCAGTTCAAAAGTGGTTGAATGGCACTGGGCACACCTTGCCCACCTCAGGGCCACCGAATAAAGGTGAAGGCATCCGGCACCGTGACCATGGCGGTATTTCTGCCACTCCTCTGCGGCCAAATGAGTCACCAGCTGACAACAATATGCAAAACCAAATCACTTCGTTGCAAGAGAAGTTCTCTACTCTTGAACAGCAGGTGCAAACACATGCCGGGCCCGCAGTCGGTATGACTTGGCTACCGAAATTGGCACCCGAGCGTGTGCCAGCGCCAACAGAGTCTCAACCACAACTGGCAGGGCAGACTTTGTCACGGCCACCCGATCAACGCTGCCTAACCAAAAATCAAATTGCTGCGCGCAATGGTGTTTGTAAAGAGCTGCCTAAGTTCAACGGGAAACCTGAAGAATGGCCCCTGTTTCTGGCCACATATCAACAGACCACCGAACTATGTGGATTTTCGGAGGGTGAAAACTTATTGCGCTTACGTCAGGCGTTAGAAGGAGCGGCACGGAACGCAGTAAGAAAATTGCTCTTACACGCGACCTGCGTCCCACAAATACTCGACACACTACGAATGAAATTCGGACGTCCCGAACTTATTATTGCCGTGCTCCTGGCACGAATTCGAGAAATACCAGCAGTAAAAGAAAACCGCCTTGAGGCTCTCGTAGATTTGGCTTTGGAGGTGCAAAACATCTGCGCAACAATGAAAGCTTCAAACATGGTCTGCCACCTTAACAATCCCGAGTTGGAACAAGAGTTGGTTGGCAAGCTGCCAGGATTGCTCGCCGCCTTTTGGGGCATGCACAAATTGCAGTTGACTTCCTCAAATCTCGAAAGTTTCGGTGAATGGCTATTTCAGAATATATTATGTGCATGTGCATGGGCTGAAATTTGTACAAAAATCGGCTCACACACATGTGCATGTGCTTAAAAACAAACAGCACACACTTTTCTGTGAGCAGAGTTTGTTTTCAACTTATGCACACACATGTGTATGAGCAGTGAGTACAAGTTGAATGTGTTTCTGACGTGTGTGTGAGCAGAGCATGTGTGTGCAAATACGAACCCTGGCTTCTATTTTGCGACAGGAAGACAATAACCTGCAACAAATTTGGAACAAATTTTAAACTAACTACAAATGAAAGCAAAAGTGTGCCCATTTCATCACTTTCCATAAATAGCATACAAAGAATAACAAAAAGTAGTCATAAAACAAAACAGGTAAAGTATCACTTCCGACAATACAAATTCATGATGTTCGCGCCAAGCAGTACAAAAAAAAACGAAAAATAAAATAAAAACAAGTTTAATTGCTAGAAACACGAAAATAACTACGAAAATAAAAAAAAAACAAGAAAAAACTACTGAATTATGCTCTTAATATCAGATGTTCGTACGGCGCAAGTTTATTAACCCCAGCGACCTAATGACAGCAAAAACAGAAGAGCGGCGCAATCCATTAAACACTAAATTAAGTTAATTAAAATACTTCAGATATGAATAATTAAGTAACTGTATGCAATGCAATGTTCATTTTTTTAGTTTAAAAATTACTGATTCCCGTTAACCGAAATTAGACTAAAGAAATCATCGTTTACAAATAAAACAATTGTCTTTCGTGTTTTTAGGCTATTGGGTGCTTATGTTTTCTCGTTCACAAAACGTTTGAAAGCTTTAAAAAAGGTGCGGTCTTTTGCCAAACTGTAGCTAGCAAAATAATATGAGCAAGAATTTGCGCATGTTTTGCTCATCCGCTGGCCGATCACGTTCTAATGTCGCTAATTAGAAAAAACAATCGCTTGTTTTTTTTTTGTAAATTTCTTCTTCTACTTTCTACATATTTTATGCTTTTTAATTTTTAATTTGATAGAAATTGCGATTTACATAAATATTTGGGAAATTTTTGGATTTCTACCTCATAATGAAGTTATAGGCATGACTAGGCAGAATTGTCTGCAGTTAGACAAGGAACCGCTGTCACTGGAGCAACGGCAATATGAATGGGGTGAATAAGTTTTTTCTTGGTATACTATATACCACATACATATATATATATGTACTTATTTAAATTTTAAAATAATGTCTTTTTCGAACTTTGACCTTTTCTCGGTTTTCAAAAAGTTTGTTTTGCGAATATTTATTGATTTTTACGAGCGACTTCGCACATGATTGCGAAAAAAATATCTATTAATACTTTTATGTGTTGGCATTAATATTTATTAGAATGGAAGGCTTAAAAGCAAAAATGTTGTGAAATAATTATAACGTCCTTTAAAGTACAAAACCGCGTGTCAACAAAATGCAAAACCTCATATGTGAATTCGCCAAAAATTTCATTAGAGAGAGAGTAAAACTTGCCTTATTTCAAAACGCTTCTCTCTTTTCCCCCTAATTATCACTTCTTCTTATATCTAAGTATCGATATTTTTGTATGAATGGATAAGGGTTTGATACCAGGAGCTTCCATTGAGCAAATGTCTATGAGGTTTTGTACTTTAAACGACGATAAGTGGAAATAATGTAAATTTTGCAAATAAATACCGCATACATACATATGCACATATTTATACACATACATACATACGTAGAACGAGTGCTGAGATTTATTGTTCTATTCTACTTGATAATGCACTATAGCTGAGTAGAAGCTGCTTTAACAAATTTTATCGCTGAAATACTTCAAGCCGAAAAGAAAGCAACTAATTTGCTTACTTACTCTCTAATTAAACTTTGACGGCATTTCTCGTTCAGCTACAAAAGAATCAACATTTTGTATTTCAATTAAATTTTTTTGTATAATTTTATGTCTGAACACTATTTGACACCGTGACATGGATACCTAAATTATTTCATTGTCAATGCTTTCGTATAATAACTAGCAGAACGTAATCAAACATGCGCCATGAGACTAGTATTATTTTATTGCAAATGAGTTGATATTTTCTCATTGATATGTCACTACAATTCTAAAGGTTTTGCTTTGTTTGCAAACAACGTGAGCAGGTATTATTCGAAGCGTTAAGCAGCCATTTGAATTTGCATATAGAAATTAGGCTGTTTGAACCATATTTAGCGAAAGGTCTATTAGCTACAACAAAAAATTGTCTTTCACGGTTTCAGTGCTTCCACTGAACTCAGCCGCAGAGATTTAGGGCTGATTTCTCCAATTCAAATTAACTTAGTTTAGCCAATTTTTTGGACTTAGTCAAGAATAAGCTGAATAAAAAGTAGGCTAACTTTTGACCTAAGTCCAAAAGATGGCTAAACTAAGTAAAGTTGAGTTTGAGAAAACATACCTAAGTGGTGATGAGATTGGAAAAAGTTTAAGTAAAGTAAAATAAATTATTTAATATGTCAACAATTGTAAAAGTATCATTTATCATTAATTCAATGAAATCATTTTAATTATTATCTTCCAACTTATCGTCGTCTCTGATATATGTATTTTATATTCATCTCGCAAGCATTTTTATAAATAGCAACCAAATAAAAAATCTAGCGCTTAACTTCCTCAATTTCTTGTTAAAACCAGTTATTTTAGGGGGAAAAGTAAGCAAAAATCGAACTTCAACACAGTAGCAGGATTTTTGTTAATTAGAATATGTGTGCGCGCTAAATTTAAAAATTCACCATACACACAATACATAAATAGGTGTGTATATACATTAGGGTGGACCTGAAATTCATGTGGCGTGGAAAAAGTAAAGTGGTAATTTCAATGCTCTCACCCACTGTTCTATATCGAAAAAATATGACCTTGTTTTTTTATTTCGAGATCAAAAAATTTTTAGAAGTCATTCAAAGCGCTCAAAGATTTCAATGTATCTATTTGTGGAAAAAAACAATGTTTCGTAGAAGTGGTGTACAACTCTTAAAAATCAATATTTTTCAAACGGAAAACTTTTTTTCTCTTCTTGAGTTTTCCTATAATATGACCCAATTGTTTATTTTATCATTTTGTAATACTAATGATTGTTTATGGGTCTCCTCATTGCATTTTTATGGTTTTCAGGGAACCTATAAAATAGTTAGTATTAAAAAATGGTTTAATAAACACTTGAGTATATTTACTGGAAGTCTCCTGAAGAGAAGAAGAGTTTTCCGACAGAAAGTATCGATTTCGGAAAATTCCATACCATTTCTACGGAAAATTGTTTTTTTCCATTATTTAAAATACATGGAAAACTTTTTCTAAATGTTTTTTGATATCAAGTTAAAAACAGGGTTATATTTTTCGATATAGAACAATGCTAGGCGGTGAAATCATTCAAATTCCGACTTTACTTTTTTTGGACCACCCTAAATGTACACTCTAATTTACATATATATATGCGCAATAGTTCGATGCTCGGTTCAATAGAACAATAAATTATACATACCATCCACTAAGCGCTTTTTAATGTGGTAATTAAGCAGTAAATCAACACTAAATAGTTTAGCTAATACATATGTAATCTGTTGATTCCATTGTTTGGGACTCTGTTGTTCAAACCTGGCAAATGTTAATAACTTTGCGAACATATATATATATATATATATATATATATATATATGTACTACACATTTATCATATCTGGCTGAGTTATTGACGATGCTGACTTACACCAACACCGGCCTTGCAAACAGGTTGCATTAAAGCTGTTAAACCGGCGTTTAAACTCTCCCCAATGGAATCTAAATGATCAGCTTTGCTAAGGAGTGAAGCTAGTCGACTGCAGAAATGCCTTAATAGTGTTTTGGTCGAAGTAGAAACAATTGGTCTGTTCTTTATCTAACCTCAAAATATCACATATTTCTTTATTCTCTTTGTAAGAAAGCTATGAAATTTCTAATTGATTGTCTAATTGGTGAAATTCGCCCACTTTTTCACACTTCGTTCAAAATATGTAAAGACCTTTCTAAAAACGTTTTTAACGGCATATTATTATTGGGATTGGTCTGATGGTTATGAAACATCTTGCTTATTTATAAATGTTTACAGAATTTGCTATTAAGAGAACAAAAATATTTCTCAAAATATTTCTCAATTGATGGTTTTATTTCATTTCTTTTTTAAATTTTATAATCTAAACATTTTTGTTAAAAAAAAATATATATATATATATATGTATATTGTGTGTATTTTTTAAATGTTGCAGAACCACCTTTGGCAACATTTATCTTGAGTCTTGACGAAGAGACACTGAAAACTAGTTGGTTTCCTAATTAATGTTGCCTTTACAACATTCTAAGGTATCATTTAAAATAAACCCTTAGAAAAAATATTTCAAACAATAAGCAATAATATCGATTCGTTCATATTTTAATGTAATTTCTGTCACTCCCATCTATAGGATTCATTCGTTGTTTTTTTTTTTTTTTTGAGAAAAAAATCATTTAAAGACTTTGTGCCGTTGCGTTCATGTACAATGTACATAGATAAGTATGTATGTACTGTGTACTTTTCTGTCAACAACCTTTAGAAAGACTTAAGATACAAACTTCTGAAACATTTTTGTACAAAAGACTTATGATACAAACTTTAACCTTCAATACATACATACATACATCCCATACAAAACATGCTGAAACTTTTACCCTTTCTTTATATGTATATACGTATATATAATTATTCTGTACGCGCGTACGGCTGCACCGATTTTAACGAAATTTTTTTGTGTGTGTTTTGTGGAGTCCGTGGTCAGTTTAAGTTCACAATATTCGAAATATGCATTGGTAACGTAAAGGGAAACATTCCTGGACTCGAATTATTACTAAAAATCCTCGAGTGAGAAAAAGTGCCGTCAATGTCCGAATACAACGACCTGCTGCACCATTGCGTATGTCGAACTATCGTGTGCTC